GTCCTCAAAGTAGCGCAACCATACACTGTTAGAAAAAGTCCTTAACGTGCAAAAGATACATGTGCCCAATGGCAAAAGTCTACATCAATGAATTCATTGGTAAGATTATGCAATTAACGAAATGTCCTGAAACAACAGTGTGCGTGCTAGTTGTGTCTATTTGATTATAAATTGGCTAATGGGACATCGATTAATTCGTGGGCAAGATTCTATGATCAAAATAAAAAATCTCAACAATAGTATTCCTGTGTGTAAATTCGTAACATAGAAGCTTCTAAATGTTTAGTGTGTCATCAATGAATTCATTGGTAAGGTCATGTAGGTATAAACTAAAATAAACACGTTTTGGGCGCAACAAGCGTCTGTCATTAGGCGGGAAAGCCCAATGGCGAAAGTGTACATAAATTAATTCATTGGTAAGATTATGCAATTAACGAAATGTCCTGAAACAACACCTGATGATGGACACTTGTGTTGCGCCCGAAACGTCGTGCTTTATTTTATACCTAAATGACTTTACCAAAAGAACCAATAAGAGTATAGATTCCTGCAATCACGAAAGCTTAAAATCAAGATTCATTGGTAAGGTTATGCAATTAACGAAAACGAATGACTAAAATACTTTTAAACGACCGTATTCATGTAACCCAAGAAACAATGCTTTTCACGATCAGCTAATAGTTAACGCACCACCTTTGGAAGGCAACCCTTTTCGAAACACAAAGATAACTTTTTGTAACAATCTTATTAGTACCAATATGCGCGTTGTGTGTGGGTGTGTTGTCTTCTTGCTGACTGTTGAGTCAGCGGCTTGTGAGGTGCAGCGTTCCTTGTACCTACAAACATCTCAGGTCCCCAGCAGGGGCGCTGGGTTGGCGTGTGTCGAACACACGGCGCTCTCGGCTGCTTCGTCAGTCTCTCTCCACTGCTGGGGTGGTTGCCGAGTCGGCACGCTGGTCACTCTGTCGGCAGTGCCCGTGCTGGCAGGGATGTTGGGCCCGGCTCCGTCTGCGTCGATGTGCATGATGTTCCCATTGCCAGACACCGCTCGCAGCTCGTCCGCTGGTTGCCAAGCGCGTCACCCCTCTTGGCACCAGACACTGTTGATCCTTGTAGACTGTGGAGAGACAGCGCCTGTCATCTCCCCGCCCCCCCCACCCCTCTTCAAGAGAGTCCTCTTCCAGTTGTCTGTACGACTCGTGCTCCAGAGAGGAAATGCTACAGATCAAGTTATATCGTGTCAGTCTCTGATCCGACCCTGCGATTTAAAGGCGACTTCAATGAATAGTGGTTGCACCAGTTTTCCCTCGAAGGGTTGACTTTGATCTGAGCACAATCGTAACGATTGTCACTGTATGATCGCATGTGTTGGCTATAAACAGTGACCTTGCCCCCGGGAATAGTAATGCGACAGCACTCTTCCCCACGTTTGTATTGTAATACTGCGAGTACCAGCCTTGGCTGGCAGCCTCTCTCAACAATGCAAACATAAAAAAAACTCTCCGTGATTCTGTCGATGCAGAGCTCCCTATCAATCTTTCCAGTCACGAGGGCAATCCCCGGAGCCTGCAACTCGCAGTACTGATTTCTGTTCTTGCGTTCTTGCTTATATCTGAAATTTTCAACCTCTGGATCTTTCTTCTCACAAAGGGGCAGCTGTTTTCCTTTTGAAGTCGCTTCAGGCTGTTTGTTGTCCGGATGTCTTTATTACCGCCATGTTTCCGTTCATGTTTTGGACAGCGTTCTCCACGCTCCCATCACGGGTTGGAAGTGTTACATTTTTTTCGCCTCAACACGTGCAGTCTCTCTCAAAAAGGGATGCTGTGGCCTTTGAAGTCGTGACCTATTGTGCATGGGTGTGCTTGCTGTCACCATGTTTTCCGTCCTCTCATCACTTTATGCAGTTTTGACTCTGCAAGAGACTCAAAAGTATGTTTTGAGTAGCATCCACAGCACTCACATCGCGGTTTGGAATTCTTGCGTGGTATTTGATGTTAGGGCAAGGCGCCCCCTGCATACATAATTTATTGCTACCATGTGCTGTATTAGCTAGTGGAAGACAAAGACGGTTGGGGAGGCTCTGATCCCGTGGAATACATATTATCTTGTTCGTGTGTGATTGACATATTTCACATTGCATCTCATCTGAATGACCCTAGGTCTAATACTTTCATAATTATTTGGTTCATGCTTAACCAAGATTTGTGGTATACCATAGTTGTTACCAAGAATATTCCGAGGGTTTTATTAACCTTTGTTCCCTGTCTGTATCGCCAGGGATCCGTGCTTCTTATTATCAAGTTATATTTTGATATTCTGAGATTGAAGATAGAGCTAAGCTTCCAACTTTACTGTTGTATTTTTAAAAAACCCAGTCAGCTCATAATGATGAATTGCCCTTGGGTGGATTTCACTGTCCGGGGAGGTTTGTGACCCCCGCTGTTTCCGTCTTGTTGGTTTTATTGTGGGTTGTTTCCTTTATGGCAGTTTCTCTTGAAGTCAACTGGGGATTTCCCACAGAATCTCATTAACCTCCACTTGGGTTTGCCAGTTTTTTAAATTAAATTTTACGACTTCCCAAGCAGGCTTGCGAGTAATTATCCTCCAGCTGTCTTTTGTGTGGCAAAGTAGTAGCCCCAGCGCTGCATCCCGATAAAAATCATAAAAAAAGGGCAGAATCACTATTAATATACATTTTTGGAAAAGGCATGTATACAACATGTTCTTTGAGTGTTTGTGATGAGGTTTTATACAAAACTCCGAGTTGCTGAGGCAATTAGGAAAGCACCATACAAATGCTAATATTATTATAACATAGTGAATGATTTGGAGCCGATTGGCTCTCACTCCTGGTTAGAGATCTACCCAACCCACAGGTCCGCAAATACTGGCTGCTCTTACTCTGCAGGTTGAACCTAGGAATTGAGTGTTCAACTTCATGTTATTTTCATTAAAGGCCCGTGACAAAGGTGAATATATTGGAGCTTCATAATCAACGTTTTTGGGTTTAGATCGCGTTATTTATAAATGTGTCGTAACCCTCCACCACCCGACACGGCCGATCAGTAAAAATGTGTCACGTTGACAAAGACAAATAGTTCACTGCTTTGGCCCACCGGTGTGTTGAAGCCACAACATTTACAATTTGAGTACGACGTTTCACTGGTAATTGCAATTTCGCTGGTAATTGCAATTACCAGCGAAACGTCGTACTCAAATTGTAAATGTTGTGGCTTCAACACACCGGTGGGCTAAAGCAGTGAACTATTTGTCTTTGTCAACGTGACACATTTTTACTGATTGGCCGTGTCGGGTGGTGGAGGGTTACGACACATTTATAAATATTGGAGCTTCATTCTCTCAATCTAACACATCTTCCGGGTGGGTCTCCATTTGACTTTGTATTGTCTAAAAAGTCCACCCACACCTCCACTTCCACAAACTGCTGGGAGTTGCCTTGCTCTGCCTCACAGTCAAAATTCTCCTCCTGCTTCACGTTGCCTCCATCAATGTGAAGGTCCGATTTTGGAGTTGAATCTTCATATTCACATTTTACCTTCACTTCTTCTCTCTTCACTGTTGCCTCTTCACATTTCACATTAGCCTCTTCACATTTCACGTTGATACCTTTTAAAGTGTCCAAGCTGGGATTTCCTTCTGGTTCTTGTTTCAGAAGGGATTCATCTTCTTGGTTCTTTCGGTAAAGTCACGTAGAAGGGAAGTAATAAAATAATAAAAATAAAACATAATAAAACAATTCTCACGACGTTTCGGCCACAACGCAAGCAGCCGTCCTCAGGTGAAAACCAGGTCCGTCGAGGCGACAGAGTCTGAATGAAACAGCACACGAGCTTGGAGCATATATATAAGCTGGGCGCATTGACAAAGGAATTTGCATATCAAAAGGAATTTAGCATATTTATGAGAAATGCAGGAATGTGATTAGTACTGCATATGCATGTGCATTATGCAGGATTAACAGCATCAAAGGGAGCTGCAGTTACTGCTGCTGCAGCAGTTGCTGCTGCTGCAGCTGCTGCTGCACTTGCTGCTGCTGCTGCACTTGCTGCTGCTGCACTTGCACTTGCTGCTGCTGCTGCACTTGCTGCTGCTGCTGCACTTGCTGCTGCTGCTGCAGTTGCTGCCTTATCCATTTTAATATAACAATATGTATTATTCTACCCACCCTACTGTGTATCATACTGCTATATGTTTACTGTACAATTACGACACCATACATTACTCTGCACACTGCACCATGCCAGTGAGTGGAACGCGGTCTGAAAGTCACCGTAAACGTGAACACAATCAGTTAAGATCCGAAATGGTTTATTACGTCCTTCCAATGATTGCTAAGCCAGAATCCATCTTCTCGGTTGAAATTGTCTCTGTGTTTGTATATGTGGATCGCCTCATGAACGAATCTCTCAGCAGTAACTGCAGCTCCCTTTGATGCTGTTAATCCTGCATAATGCACATGCATATGCAGTACTAATCACATTCCTGCATTTCCCATAAATATGCTAAATTCCTTTTGATATGCAAATTCCTTTGTCAATGCGCCCAGCTTATATATATGCTCCAAGCTCGTGTGCTGTTTCATTCAGACTTTGTCGCCTCGACGGACTTGGTTTTCACCTGAGGACGGCTGCTTGCGTTGTGGCCGAAACGTCGTGAGAATTGTTTTATTATGTTTTATTTTTATTATTTTATTACTTCCCTTCTACGTGACTTTACCGAAAGAACCAAGAAGATGAATCCCTGCAGTCACGAAAGCTTTAAATCGAAATCAGAAGGGATTGTTTCATTGCAGCACTTTGACTTTCACAAGTCGATTTCAGACCACACTCCTTGGGGTTCTTCTGATGCCTGTGTGTTCTCTGGTGTCTATGAAGATGTGATGACTGTGAAAACGCCTTCCCGCACAGAGTGCACTTGAAGGGTTTCTCTCCCGTGTGTGTTCTCTGATGGCTCTGAAAAACTGATGACCATGCAAATGCCTTGTCACACACAGTGCACTGGAATGGTTTCTCTCCTGTGTGTGTTCTCTGGTGGCTCTGAAGAACTGATGACCGTGCAAATACCTTCTTACACACAGTACACTTGAAGGGTTCCTCTCCTGTATGTTTTCTCTGGTGCTTGTGCAGAATTGATGACCGTGAAAACACCTTCCCGCACACAGTGCACTTGAAGGGTTTTTCTCCTGTGTGTGTTCTCTTGTGTATTTTAAGATAGGACGACTCTGTAAATGCCTTCTCACACACACTGCACTTGAAGGGTTTCTCTCCTGTGTGCGTTCTCTGGTGTTTTTTAAGATATGATGACACTGTAAATGCCTTCTCACACACAGTGCACTTGAAAGGTTTCTCTCCTCTGTGTGTTCTCTGGTGTTTTTTAAGATTTGATGACACTGCAAATGCCTTCTCACACACACTGCATTTGAAGGGTTTCTCTCCCGTGTGTGTTCTCTGGTGGCTCCGAAGATCTTTTGACTGTGCAAATGCCTTCCCGCACAAAGGGCACCTGAAGGGTTTCTCTCCCGTGTGTGTTCTCTGGTGGCTCTGAAGATCTGATGACTTTGCAAACGCATTCCCGCACACAGTGCACTTGAAGGGTTTCTCCCCTGTGTGAGTTCTCTGGTGCTGTGTCAAATTTCCAGTACGATCCGTGCTGCTTGCATTATGGTCGCATTTTTTCCTTCTTGCACCGAGCTGCGCTGAGTGCCTTTGCTCCATCAGATCAATTCTGCAGAGGAAGCGTCAGCTGCAGACACAAAAACATATCCACACCATCTACATCAGTATCGAGGCAAAGAGAAATGAATATATACACAGTCACACATGACTTACACGTCTATACTTATTCAAATATTTATGATACAGTGAAAAGAATTCCCCAATTTATCACACGGGCTGTTAAGGCACACAATGAGAGGGTAAATGGTCATAAATATGTCTGGATGCCCTAGTATCTTCAAAATGAATGTTTACCCAAAACTCCAAGCACATAATTTCGGCTGTCTAGCTACAAAAGTATTTACTTAAGACAAATTCAGATTACAGAGCAAAACGTGTAAAAAAATATATTATTTGTATTACGCAGAAATGCATAAATTAATGTTGAATCGAAACTTCGAGGAGTGTGAAACCAGGCTCAGATTTGCTTGAATGCTCGGATGAACACATCTAACTTCAGGTGCATATGTGCTGAGATATTTTCCTGACTGTTTCCATTCTTATAAAAAGTTCCAGAGGAAAACTAAAATAAACTATTGTTTTGATTTAACCTCCACGTTCAATAATTAATATGCATTACTGAAAATACAAACTTGACACTGTCACACACTGGCATGGTAAAAAGGTGGTGGTGTGTCCAGAACCATGCCTGGCCACCTTCATCTGGCTCAGTAATAATGCTTCCTCACTTCACCATGTTATTAATTTAAGATCAATCAACATAGCAGAGGCCCACAATAAGTTCAGCTTTCACTTAAACGATGTAACACGATTTTTATTCCTAGGTAGCAAGTGTTATTTTTTAATTGGTTATGCCTAAAAAGTTTAGAAAATGGCAATTATTCCCCACAAACTTTGCGTTTGTGATTAGGACTTTACGTGAAGGAATGACACAAATGCACACGTTTTTCATTGAAAATAGGTAAATAGCTAAATATCACTGTCCTAGTCACAAAAGCAAAGTTTGTGGGGAATAATAGCCATTTTATATACTTTTCAGACATAAGCAATTAGGAAATAACACTTACTTCCCAGGAACAAAAAAAATGTGTTACAGTGTTATTAATGGAGTGGATTATTAACTTTGCTTTTGTATCCTGGTCACAAAAGCAAAGTTTGTGGGGAATAATAGCCATTTTCTGTACTTTTGAGGCATAAGCAATTAGAAAAAAACACTTACTACCAAGGGACAAATGTATTTTTTTGTTACACATCGTGGTTGCCGTCGGCGATAATCAAACTAATTGTTGAGTTCACTGCGCTCCAGCTCCCCACAAAGATAAACTCTTAAACACGAATACATTTCACATATATCATTAACATATTATATAAACAAATCATCCACCATTCATGACGAATTGGAAGTTACCTTATCACAGTGCTAATGCCATGATAGGTGCAATTTAAGGCCATGTAAGTATGGATTCCTTGTCAGGAGATAATAGGAATGATCCAGGTGTCAAGGGATGACTGACAGGTGAACCAGCTGTGCTCCCCTCCGTCTTGCTGGGTTTTAGAAACCCAGCATTCCACCCATTCATTTGTCACTCCGACCTCATCGTTGTTGTAGAGAAAATATATCGTAACTGCCCTGCAGCATACCTCAGGGGCCTCCCCACAGAGGCCAATATTGACACAACTGATACCAGTCATTGGCGGTTCCGATCACCTCCACATCCTCCAATCTCTTCTCTAGCCAATGCCATGCCTGTTTAGCTCTTAATATCTGGACAAACAGAATCTGCTTGAGCACGCGGTAACTGGGAATGCGGGATTCATGACCGCACCAATGCAGCCTCGCCTGTCAAAGAGACTCAAGATTTTATTATATATTTATATATTAAGGATCTGTAAGATTAATACAAAATAGTCTGGTTGAATTAAAAATGAATCATAGGCAGACCAGCCTTCATTGTAAAAGCCAGCACAGATGGTCATTTAAATAAGTTCATATTTTGCATTCACAGCGTAATATCTGTGGCCAAGAAGAATCACAGCTTTGTTCGTTCGTTTCTAAAAAGTCTTGTCCTGGTGAGTCGAGTGGTCCAGGCCTCCCTTTCCCTGGCGACAGACTCTCGCTCAACCTGGGGAATTCCAAAGCGTTCCCAGGCCAGCCAAGCAACATAGTCCCACCAGCATGTCATGGGCCAGCCCTGGGGTCTTCACCCAGTGGGACGTGTCTGGTAGAGTTCCAGGGGGAGTCTATTGGGGTGCATCCTTACATATATTCTATATTGATATCACCGCTAGAGCCAGGTCCAGGGGTTGGGTTCGCCAACAAGTGACTCTGGGCCACGTGACCCATGTAACCAAGTTGGGCCAGCTCAAAATGGCTACGTGGTGCCATCCTGTGCACCAAACATCCGCAGGATGAAGGGTAAGTGACGGGTACGATGCCAGTATGGCAGGGAGAGAGATAGTCTCAGGCGGACTAGACCTTGGCAATGGACACTCACAGCTCTGTATGGAGCAAAAGTCCAGGCATCTTCCACACAGTGTTACACAGTCTAATGAAAGAATGCTGCTTGACTAATTTTAAGTGAGACTTTGGCTGCCAAACCAGAGCTGGTCATGAACACATTAACCAGGTATGGGAGCTCCTCCAACACTTGTAGAACTGCCTAATTATTCATGGAGAGTTGAGCAGGTGCCGTGTTGTATGACATGAAATTCCCAGGCAGGTGATTTATTTTTGTGGAACATTTGCAAGGCCCCATTTCATGATGGAATTATCAAGCCACAGAACAAGATTCCCTAATTCCATCTCATTGAGTAGCCATTACCATATCTATAACCAGGCTTCATACTCTTAGTTCTTTCGGTAAAGTCACGTAGGTAAAAAATGAAATTAATAAAAATAAAACAATAAAAATCACGACGTTTCGGAGGCAACACAAGTCTCCATCATCAGGTGGGACCGTCACAGCCAGATTTGCTGCATCAAGTGAGGCAAGGATTCAAGATGTAATCCCTTAAATGCAAGTTGAGGGGGGAGGGATTACATCTTGAATCCTTGCCTCACTTGATGCAGCAAATCTGGCTGTGACGGTCCCACCTGATGACGGAGACTTGTGTTGCCTCCGAAACGTCGTGATTTTTATTGTTTTATTTTTATTAATTTCATTTTTTACCTACGTGACTTTACCGAAAGAACTAAGAGTATGAATCATTGCAGTCACGAAAGCTTCAGATCTAGAACTATAACCAGGCATCGTTTAGCATATCATTGTAACCATAACAAATGCAATGGTTTTAATATGACAATTGGGAGCTTCTCAAACTACATAGTTATTGAAGATGCTATGAAATAAGAATAGGGTTTCCCCTCTTTTCTGGCAACAAAACAGGTGTTAAGATGTTAAAACACCAAACTGAAACCTTTTACAAGGAATCATGTCTGCATTAACCACAATACTTGTGGTCAGAATGCAAACAAAAAACATACTCTGATAATATATGCATTGTCTTTGAGACTGATTGGTCCACAACAGAGACAGCTTTCTTTGGAGCCTGGTCTCAAAAGGTGTTAGACCAGAGGACGCCAAAAGGCGTAGAGCACAAAGACAAGCACTATCAGAGTAATGAGAGCTCAGGGTGAGCATCTACATCATGGGAACTCCTTTGTGTCTTCACTGCACTGCTATATTTGTTCTCATATTTACCACGTGATCCTTCCCTATTATCAGCCCTGCGTTTTTGACGCCAAATTCATCCACTTCCGGCTCCTTACTGTCCTCTCTGCACGTGCATGGCTCACCTCTAACACACTGCAATATTAATGAAAAATATATTTACATCTACGTATCAACACTACCGAACTCCTTCTGCACAATAGATGCTATACAACAGCTACAACTAAATACATAAAGTCTACATCGCCTGGTAAGGAATAAAAGTGTGCAAATACACGCACTAGCGTTAAAATAATAATATATTTACACACACCACCACACACATACTATTAATACCCACATCATCAAGCACCACCAACAATTACTTTGTTCCTTTACGGCTATGTCTTCACATTCCTACAACGATTACACATTCAACTATCATTTCCTTAACAATATATATAGCATTCACGCACACACTATTTACTCTTTTTTATGCTTATTAACTTTGACCTCCATCTATAATGTTCCTCGCGAAAAACGTGCACTTTTCTTCACCAAAACCGATTACAATAAATTATGCCATTCGTGCAAGTGCTGCAATGGCTTTACCTAGAGCTAATGAAACTCCTTAACACTAAGTTAGACAGCATGCTGCCTGTACTGCACCTACAGCTAATTATTATCCTGAACACTAAGACGCAAGAGCATGTTGCCATGACTGCACCTATTGATAATAAAATGACACTCCTGAACACCAAGAAGCAGACGGCATGCTACCAGTGCTATGCTTGCACCTACAGCGAATGCAACTCCTCAACAGCAATGAGCTGCACTGAAAAACATCACAGCACACATGGCTGCTGCCACAGCTAATCCAACTCCAGGCCACCAACAAGCAAGGCAGATTGAAAACAGCACGACAATGGCTGCAACCAGGTGCATACCCTGCAGCCAAAAGGAAAAGTTTTTCTTTTACACACTTTCCTCACCTAATTTACACTTCTGATCCATAAATTGCCATTGGTTCCATGTCTACTTCTTGCAGCTACTTCCATGCAATTACATGGAAAGAAGACCCTCCAGGGCTATACTGCAACTGTACCATGTTCTTTGTGTCTTTCGGTAAAGTCACGTAGATAGGTTCAAAGAAAATAACAAAAAACTACCGACGTTTCGATCGCAACACAAGCAGTCGTCATCAGGAAAAGGGGTTAGCCTCAAAAGGCAAACTGTTTATAAAGGTTTGGAGATGCACGTAGCCCAAGTGTATCAGCAGCATCAGCAGCAAGGGCGTGGCAACAATGCGAATGCAGCAGCAATGTCTATGCAGCATGTTAATGTAAGATCGGTGAATGGCCTCTCCGGCGAGCGCACTAAGGTGGCTATGTTAATGTGAGAGATTCGCTTGTTAATGAATGATCGCAGAGCTGCCGCCACGTCTAGGTTACTGCGCTAAGGTGGCTGTGTTAGTGTGAGAAATTTAACTTGTTAATGTAAAATCGGAGAGCTGAAAATAACAGTGAACATCGGAAGGTGGTAGGATGGGAACATCACATCCAGTTATGAATTAAACTGGTTGATAACGTCCTTCCAATGATTAAGTTTGTACCCATCTTGGATGGTTTCATGAACGAATCTTTGTTGATAGCTAGTGGGTTTGCAAAATACCTTCGTCTTAAAGAAATCAATTTCGCATGAGCCCACCGCATTAAAACAATGATCAGCCACAGCCGAAGTATTGGTCCTACCATGTTTCAGATCTGCCTTATGTTCACAAACACGGTCCGAGACATGTCGCTTACTTTCCCCAATGTAACTACTGCTGCAGACACAGCTTAGTTTGTAGACGCCAGGGTATTCCATGTCATGGATCACATCCCAATGAATATTAATTCCTGCAGTCACGAAAGTTTTAAGTCAAGATTTAACTGTACCATGGTTCAGCTGCCTACAATTAATGACCATCTCGAGCCTATTCATGTATTGATATATGCCAACACTACCTATGCAAGCCAATTCCAAAACAACAATAGAAGATAGAACTCATGCTTCAAAATGACATGTTTTGGCACCAACCAACTCATCCTGACATCTGGCTAAATACCCTCCACAAAAATGTAACACCACAATCCTATGATGCTCTTTAATGTCTACTGATTTTTTGGCACGGTGATGATGGCTACAATTTCCTACTTCACCAAACTGACCCAGCAACAGGCTTGCCAACACAAAATAAGCTTTCCGCCTTGGACTTCTTTGCTTTCAGGATCATGGTGCGAAACGGCAGCTTCAATCTCTTCTTGAGATGCTCTTCCACCAATTTGCTGTCGACATATATGCCAAAATTGAAGCTTCATTAGATTAAACCCACCAGATGGAAAACATCCAACATTGTTTATCCTGAAGCTCTCTACGCGCAGCACATTTAAAAGCTGTCCTCATTATGAAACAAAGCGCCGCGATTGTATAACACAAAAAAACCCGTAACAATATATACACATTTACAGACTTCATTGGCAGAATTCAATCATTCTAATAAAGCCAGCATTACTCTTAATGTTTCATAACTGAGACCTGTGCGAAGCCGGATAACTTAGTTATTACTGAATACAAACTATACTTCCGAGGATGTGTGTGCATGAGTGGGGAGCTTTTAGTGCAAAGGTTAGTGTGCTGCGCTATAAGCCCAGCGACCTGATTTATAGTCCCACAGAGCCAAGCCACATTTGGCTGTCGCCTGATGAAGCTGGCTTTAATTACTGACAAAACGTCGTACTCAGATTGTAAATGTTGTGGCTTGACTCTACAATACACAACCGGTGTGCTGTACTGGTGAAGAATTGGCCACCTTCTGATTACGTGACAAACCTTACGAGTCGGCTGTGGTGGCGGGTTTCATGACACCTTGAAATATTTACGCGATCTAACCCAAAAAACCTGTATTACGGATGTATATTTGGAGTTTGCGTGTCTCTCTCCCCATGGTCGCGTTTAGAGTCAACATCACCACGCGTTTAGAGTATTTGACCGATACCCATTTCCACGCGTTGATAAGCCACTTTGTTGTGGGCAGGTCGCTTCTGAAAAAGAGCGGTATAGCTCAAGTGGGCTTGGCATGGTTAAATAAAAAAACTCTAGAAATATTTAAAGTAAAAAAAAGTTTCAAAGTAGCGAACCAGGTGAAGACAAATTAAACTTAAGCAGAGAATTAAAGCAAATGCAATCAGGCGAGGGCAGGAGGCTAGGCCCAGCGTTGTAATGTTCCAACCTGGACATCGATTCCATACTCGCTGCTACTCAATTGATATCCCGACACGAGAGAGAGAAGGAGCAAGGCTCGACCTCGGTAAACAACAACAACCACCACAACAACAACAACCACCACGATGTGAAATTCTCACCTCGGATCTCAGTGAGAGCGCGCGGTGCAGCAGCTTCCTCGTATTTCGTGACGTACCGTGGCAGCAGGAGGTGACATGACGTCACTTGCGGGGTTCAACACACAATCCCCTCCCCCAACGAGCAGCGGTGTAACTGAATAAATTATGTTAATGAGCCGGGACAATGCCGGGTGATGGGGCTTGGCTGCTGAACCAGTCGCAATGAACTCGCGACGGTATCTATGAATAGCTTTGCCCAAATAAGGATTTTTACTGGAACGGAAATCGACAGTGACCAAGCAGACGTGACGTCACGCTCAAAATCGCGGTGTCGGGGGGCTTGGGGAATGAATACCTTGGTGACATGACGTCCCTAGCAGGTTACACCTCCCCTTGGCGTCTCACGCCGATGAGGTAATGCGGAGTGGTGACGTCTGAGCGAGAGAGCGCGGGGTTTGAGTTTAATACTCTTAGTTCTTTCGGTAAAGTCACGTAGGTAAAAAAATTAATTAAAATTAATAAAAATAAAACAATAAAATCACGATGTTTCGGAGGCAACACAAGTCTCTGTCATCATCACTTGATGCAGCAAATCTGGCTGTGACGGTCCCACCTGATGACGGAGACTTGTGTTGCCTCCGAAACGTCGTGATTTTATTGTTTTATTTTTATTAACTTTAATTTCATTTTTTTCCTACGTGACTTTACCGAAAGAACTAAGAGTATGAATCCTTGCAGTCACGAAAGCTTCAAATCTAGAGTTTGAGTTTAAGTTTATTTAGATTCCTTTTCCATTGCTCCCTCTCTTGAGCAGAGACCCCTTGAGTGCTTGAGCTCAACAACAACAACGTGAAGATTAGTGTGTGTGTACATTGTGTGTGTGTGTACAAACTGTGTGTGTCTATGTGGAGTGCTGAACTTTACGTGGACAACTTCTTGCTTTTCTGTCGTCACTTTATTTCTACTAACGCAGCACATTTCAGTATCATTCTCCTGCGCATTCTCCGCTCGTTAGCCACGCTTCGCCGACTTTGCTCGCTCTGCTCTGCCGTCTCTCCCGACTCTCCTCTCCACTCCTCCGTCACAGCCCAGCCGCTCTCTCGGGGTCTCTCCGTCTCACTCCAGCCGCTCTCTCGCTGCTTCTCTGTCTCACTCCAGCCGCTCTCTTGCGGCTTCTCCGTCTCACTCCAGCTGCTCTCTCGCGGTCTCTCCGTCTCACTCCAGCCGCTCTCTCGCGGCTTCTCCGTCTCACTCCAGCTGCTCTCTCGCGGCTTCTCCGTCTCACTCCAGCTGCTCTCTCCCGGCTTCTCCGTCTCACTCCAGCCGCTCTCTTGCGGCTTCTCCGTCTCACTCCAGCCGCTCTCTTGCGGCTTCTCCGTCTCACTCCAGCCGCTCTCTTGCGGCTTCTCCGTCTCACTCCAGCCGCTCTCTCGCGGCTTCTCCGTCTCACTCCAGCCGCTCTCTCGCGGCTTCTCCGTCTCACTCCAGCCGCTCTCTTGCGGCTTCTCCGTCTCACTCCAGCCGCTTCACTATACTTCGATTTAAAGCTTTCATGACTGCAGGGATTCATCTTCTTGGTTCTTTCGGTAAAGTCACGTAGAATGAAAATAATAAAATAATAAAAATAAAACATAATAAAATAATTCTCACGACGTTTCGGCCACAACGCAAGCAGCCGTCCTCAGGTGAAGAATGAAACTTCTTCCTGTACTCCACTGCTACTCTATACTTCTTCCCTTACTCCACTGCTACTCTATACTTCTTCCCTTACTCCACTGCTACTCTATACTTCTTCCGTTACTCCGTGTCTTCAGCTCCGACCGTGTGCATCCACTCCCAGGCACGACCCCACTCCAATTCCCTCAACTCCAAAACTCCCCTGTATTTATCCCCGACCCTATTAATTCCCAATTAATTAGTTGGCATCCCCCCGATGCCCCTCGCCCCCAGCCCCCGCTGCTACCTGTCTCCATTTCCAGACTTGGAGGCGCCACTTCACACCCAACAGCAATGTACACTTGACATATGTACACTTGGCACAGGTGGTGCAGCGGCCAGTCATCTCAGTCGACCCATGGCACCTGCTGGGTCTGCCCCATGACCTCCTGTCGGCGGGCGTTCGACACTTCACGTGGCCTTAACGTGCACATAGCCTGGCTCAAGCGCCTTGGTGACGTCACCGCCACTTAGTGGCGAATGGCGGTTGTTGTTGTGTATACACTCTGCACTCTGTATGTGCAGATTGTGTGTACACTGTGCGGGTATGCTGCGTGTGTGTACGCTCTGTGTGTGTATGCTGTGTGTGTACATTGTGTGTACACAACACATTTATACACCGTGTGTGGGTCGTCCCGATCAGGCGGGCGACATTATCTTTTCGTCAACTGCACAATGCTGTGTGGAAGCTACCTGGTCTGTCGCTCCACACAGAGCTTCAGTTCTTCTCTGCCACAGTCATACCCACCCTTCTACAGGCATGTGAAATGTGGACTCCTCTAATTGGAACATCTGCGCTGGTTGAAACATTCAGGCTGGCATGCCGACATTCAGATTGAGGGAAGCCAAGTGGTAGTGCATTCTCTATTTATTGCAGAGGTTTAAGGTTCCAAATCCGACGGGCATGCCTGGTTATTCCAGTAACATTACCCAAAATATGCACAGTCTGCTTAACAGTGGATGTAAAACATACTATTGTGTCATTCAAAACGCATCGGTCATTGCATGTTGGTGTCATTGTCAACATTTGGGTAATTGCAAATGTTATCCAGAAATAACATGATGAAGCTTACAAATCAATTATCGCCCCTTACTGACAGACTCATGCCCCATGCAGGCTGGTGCACAGTCACCTGACGCCCTACAGGAGCAGCTGCCACTTGTGGGTGCTCTTCGAGTGTTTGTGATGAGATACGATTTTTTAAAAACTCCAGAGTTGCTGAGGCAATTAAGCAAGCACCATACACATGCAAATATTATTAATTTAAACATAGCAAATGCTTGCGAGCTTATTGGCTCTTGCTCCTGATTAGACATCTACCCAACCCACAGGTCCACAAATACTGGCCACTCTTACTCTGCAGGTTGACCCTAGGAATAAAGTTTTCAACTTCATATCCTTTTCATTAAATGCCTGTGACAAAGGTCAATCTATTGGAGATTCATTGTCTCAAGCTTGCACATCTATCGGATCTCCACTTGACTTTGTATTGTCTCAAGAAGTCCACTCACACCTCCACATCCACAAACTGATGGGAGTTGCCTCGCTCTGCCTCAGAGTAAGAATTATCCTCCTGCTTCAAGTTGCCTCCATCGATCTTCACATTTAACCTTCCCTTCTTCGCTATTCACTGTCACTTCACATTTCACTTTTGCCTCTTCATATTTCACCTTAATATTCATATTCTTAGGTTTTTTCGGTAAAGTCACGTAGGTAAAACATCAAAATTAATAAAAATAAAATAAAATTAATTATTAATTTTGATGTTTTACCTACGTGACTTTACCGGAAAAAACCTAAGAATATGAATCATTGCAGTCACGAAAGCTTCAAATCTAGAATTTCACCTTAATATCTTTCAAAGTCTTCTTGGTTCTTTCGGTAAAGTCACGTAGAAGGGAAGTAATAAAATAATAAAAATAAAACATAATAAAATAATTCTCACGACGTTTCGGCCACAACGCAAGCAGCCGTCCTCAGGTGAAAACCAGGTCTGTCGAGGCGACAGCGTCTGAATGAAACAGCACACGAGCTTGGAGCATATATATAAGCTGGGTTGGAAGGGGGGGAAAGGGCGCCTTGACAAAAGAATTTGCATATGAAGAGGAAATTAGCATATTTATGGCAAATGCAGGAATGTGATTAGTATTACATATGCCCGTGCATTATGCAGGACTAGCAGCATCAAAGGGAGGGGGTATAGGAAATGAAAGTATGTAAATAGTACTAATTATGCCCGTGCATTATGCAGGATTAGCAGCATCAAAGGGAGGGGTAGCATTAATAAAGGGAAGGAGTGTTAATAGTATGTAGCTGCAGTAACTAAAACCAACACGTAAACAACTAAAGTATAAACTACATAGTATCATCAGTATACTAACTATACTCTACAATAAGCTGAGTTACTAACAGGAGTGGTAGTGTAGCGGTTAGCGCACTGACCCGAGTTCGATTCCCGCTCACGGTCAACACCCAGTGACTCAGGCTCAAATGAATACCTGGTGCGGTGTGTAAACATCGCCACTGGGGAGACAAAGGTGGCCGGGCGTGGTGTTGGCCATCCACCCCCTCGTGTGTTGTTGGCCTTCATAGGTGCTCGCTAACAACACTTGCCCCAAGTCTGTTAAGGCTATATGGGGGATCTTTGTGTACACTGTATGTTGGCATAGTAGGCGGGCGTTCGACACTTCAAGTGGCCTTAACGTACACATAGCCTGGCACAAGCGCCGTGGTGACGTATACTCTAAGTGCAGATTGTGGGTACACATTGTGCACACAATACATGTCTACACAGTGTGTTGTGTGGTCCGAATCAGTCAGGCAGGATTATCTTTTCATCAGCTGCGCAATGCTGTGTGGAAGCTACCTGTTCAATCGCTCCGCACGAAGCTTCGGGTCTTCTCGGCCAGTCATGCCCTCCCTTCGAAAGGCATGTGAAACGTGGACTTCTCTAAATGGAACATCTGCGCCGGTTAAAACATTCACGCTGGCATGCCTACACTCAGATTGAGGGAAACCAAGTGGTAGCGCATTCTCTTTTTATTGCAGAGAATCAAGGTACAAATCCGACAGGCACCCCTGGCTACTCCATTAACATCAACCAAAATATGCACCGTCTGCTGAACAGTGGATGTAAATCATACTATTGTGTCATTCAAAACGCATAGGTCATTGCATGTTGGTGTCAGTCAAAATTTGGATAATTCAAAATAGTATCCAGAAATTACATGAGAGAGATTACACATCAATTATCAGTTAGGTATGGTTTTGGACACACCACCACCTTTTTACCATGCCAATGTGTGACAGTGTCAAGTTTGTATTTTCAGTAATGTATATTAACTGTTGAACATGGAGGTTAAATCAAAAGAATAGTTTATTTTAGTTTTCCTCT